GCTAACTCGGACATTTACATAAACACTGTGTGGCAGGCATCGGATGAGAAATAAAAAAACTGACTGTAAAGGATATGGTTGCTATTTTACTTAACACTCTACTCTCTATATGCACTCTCTGTTCTTCCTCATTCCAACCTTGACTTCCCTCCTTCATCGGAACCTACTCCACCTTGATAAATAACACAACTCATTGTTCTTTATTACTGCCTTCTCTCTCCTGGAGCCCCTAATCGCAGTTCACTCTTGCAACATGAGCTAGTATCAATTTAATCTAATAATTTATCATACCTCCATCTGTTCCACTAATAAATGTTAAGCATTGGTTATCGCTCATATCCAAATGCCTTGCTGCTCCTCGGTTTCTCTTTTATTTTTTCTCTTCAGAATCTTGCTCTGAGGGTGAAGCTATGTAACTTCTGACATCTGGAACAAGCTTGACGAACGCGCTTTCCCAAGGTCATAGCTAGAACCATGCGCTCCACAAGCCTACTTTATAACAACAATAAACTTAAAAAGCTGCATTACATAAATACTTAGCATGACCGAAACCCTATTACACTTTTTGTCGAGATTGGATCTGGTATATAACGTGGACGCTATGCCCCTTTGGAAACTATTCTTATGAAAACACATTATAGATGTACGAATGAACTGCTATCAACTTTTATAGATTATAATTACTAAACAAGCTTGCTTGGGATGCATACTTTGAACCAGTATATGTTGTAAATTGTAGATCATGCCTGTGAAAATGGCGTGTACCTGCTAATACAGAAATATATTATTATTAATATTATTATTAAATCTTTCTCATTGAAAGGTCTTAATACTACCCATAGAAACCTAGTTTGACTTTCCCCCAAATCCGTCTAGTGTCTCAATCTGTGGACCTTCAGCACGGTGTACCTGGAAATATTTTGGGCATTTCTGGTTATTAAGACGTTTTATTAACCCAATGTCACACTTAAAGAGAGTTGTGGACTGAAAATTCTACCTCTTGATTCCATGAAAGATAATTAAACTGTCACTTTAATCAACTTCCGCTTTATCAACTACGGTTACGGAAACTGGCTTTTTCTCCGTGACAATGTACCGTTTCTTACATTTATGTTGCATTCACTGATCATTTTTCCTCGGGAGTAGCAATCAAACTTGAGTTACACACATTGAGAGATTCTGAACGACTATGAATTTTGTCATCAGGCCATAAAGTTTGCTGTTTCTCCTTCTAGAAAACGAGCTAGCGTTACGACTAAGTTTTTGGGAGTATACTAAATACTCACACTTTGAGAGCCGAGCAAAAGAAAGCATGCTCTCTTGAGTCTTCATGCTTTGCAGGGACCAAAAGTGTTTGATTAAACTGTTGCCGTGATCTGTTAGGCCCCAATGTTCAATTTCCGTCGAAAGCACCATACTCAATAGGATTATCGATGGGAGTAAGTAGTTCAGAAAGAGCAACACTGTGGTACTACTTTAACAGAAATTAATTCATTCAAAGTGAAATCTCGATGCTCACTAAGTGATCAGACTATAAATTTGACGTAACGAGGGCATATACTGCAACCTTTCTAAAAAGCGAAGTTCAACTTTCATTCTGAAGATGCATCAAGGGTAACTCTTGGTTCTTGTGAAGCAAACCCCAGATACCATTGATAAAGGTAATGTCAGACACTCACTGTATATTTCGAAAGAGACGTCTAAGCAACTCACCCTATTGAGATGAGCAGGGATATGACCAGGATGAACAACCAAAGGATAATAACCAGTAGTGTTTGTTAATATTGATGAACTTAAAGCATTTGTTTAGCACTTACAAAGTTACTTACGTTGTGATGTAATACATCATAACGAACTTTCACTTTTATGATTAACAAGTTATCAAGGCGGGGTAAACTGTATTCTTCCTGCCAATTTTAACGATACACACGGTAACTAGCAGAAATGGAAGTGAGTCATTATCCAAATTATAGTAATCAACGATGAAAAATCATTTCATCGTCTGTCATTTTGCTGGGTTACATTAAAAATGCAGCATTCAACGACGGAAATAATGTTCCATCACTCTGAACAATTCGGGAGTTGCAGGCTTATGTGCTGAAAGAAAAACTTTGTGTTCATCTCACTATTTGACTTGTTAGATGCTGAGTAGTCTTTCAGTGATGTTCATGAACTTCAATGTTTTGACAGACCGAAGCATAGAATCCAAGACTTTGAAGAATGAAGCTGGCAATCAGATGATTTTCACTCAGACTTGCCAAGATTACTGAAGTGGTTCTGTTTTCTTCTGAAATGTGTGCTAATCGTGATGATGATCAAGAATATCCCCTATTCATTCTTATCCGCATTTTTTTATAAACGCCCCTTTTGAAGATAGTACTAAAGCGATTCTCTTACAATCAATTTCGACTATGGTTAATTTTGGTTAAGCCATTTTGTTAACTTACTTAATAGACAATGTTATTCGAACAGTAACAATTCACATATTTCTTTGTACTATTATGATAACTATCATATGTGTATAAACGTATACGCTTGATAACATATCAGCCTACATGTATATATGTCTTCTAGCTCAAAAGCTAACAACTTATATATCGCTCGGTGTGTCATTCTCTTTCCCATGTATATATGTATTATTAGTCTTCGCCTATCCTAGCTGCGCTTTATTCGAGTTGACCATGAATTCTCCTCTGATTCAAATTCTCCCGATGTGTTGATAACTTTGTTGTTTGTACTATAGACTAATAAACTGTCGTTGCCGCTTCCTATAGCCCTATGATTTCAAAAACCGTTGAGATTTATGTAATCACGATTAGAAAGGTGATTGATTAACGAAACAAAGCCACTACAGTACCTTAATTTCACTAGTTCTCAGGAAGAGCAACCCTACTTTATAGGATTACCCCGTTTCCAGATTCAACTTTCCTATTATATGAAAACGTCGATAAAATGAAAATTTCCCAACACCTTTAGTTGTTAAAGCCAGTATCCCGAGTGCAGAACTATATTTTAGAGTCGATATAGGCGTTTAGCTAACTCGAAATTTTGAAAAGCAAAAGGTGGGTGTTTTATGCTGATTGAAGCAGTCCAGAAACACTGAATATTCCCTGTGATTTCAGTGAGCTACACTGATACCTAGTTCCTCTTCCTTATTTCCAACTGACAGTAATGAATGAAAGGGAATCGAAGCTTATGATTGATTCAAAGTACAACTAGACAGTGTTTTCTCCAACTTAAATCATATTTGAAGCAGACGGTTGTGAAACAATGATGATACAATTCTGATTTTTCAGACACAGTGTAAGCTACCTGTATCAGAAGGTATGGAAGTCCTAGTCAAGACATGGAACAGCTGTAACCTGTCACATTCAGAATTACATTTCCTATGTTTAGATGACACTACTGCTTTTATCAAGACTTTCTCACCATCATAATCCATGTTGTAGTTTGTGTTTCTCTATCTTTCGCTTTTGCAGGCTGACGTAAAAATATGAGGTTTTCTACCGAGAAAACATTATCCCATCATCCTATGGTGGACCCAAATGTAGGACAGTCAGTCATGATGGAAGAAAAACAACAATTTTGCAACAGTCGTACTTCCAGTTAACTCCATAGTAGAAATTAATTCGAAATACATACAATTTGGTAACTAAGTAGGCGAAAACGTAACCTTAATTACTGACTACGATACACTTGAATTTGTGGGGAGTAGTGTAACGTCGTTTACTTTATTACACCTACGTAGCTTATTCTAGTTTCTGGACAAGCCAATTCACCTATAATGTTATGAGTCATATTTTGATCTTGTTAATTATTCGCTTATTGACCTTGACTATATTTTTTATATGAGCGCATGTGTATGCACATTTCGTATCTTATTCATCGCATGTCTGTCATTCATTTTCGTCTGACTATAAATGTTGATTAATGCTTGCTCATAGCGAGTTGGCTTACCAGCCATCTCCCATGTATGTTATTTTTTCTTCGCTCGCTAACATTTACTCATGTGCTCACTGCCTTCTAACCTATGTTATTTGTCAATCAAAATGTAGTTGCTACTTCCCTTTGTCTTCTGATATTATACACCGTTCAGATTGTTATAATAACGGTTATCGAGACGATCGATTAACGAAGCACTCCACTACAAGTTGCTTGACAACGTCGAGTTTATCAGCAGACATTTGTTCTTTAAGCTTACCATAGTTTCGAAGTAAAACTCGGCCTTTTACATTGGCAATATTTATGTTCCATTACACAGACATAGATTTTCAGAGGTTAACGGTTCCTTATTACGGCATAGCGGAGCATCAACTTTTGGTGTTTGAATTTTTATGGAACAGTTTGACTGTGAAGGTCGCTGATGAACCTGATACTCAGAAGAGTTTTATCAATAAATCGTTATTTTCTTCGTTTACAGCATACTAAAAGCTAGTTTGTTCTCCACAAAATATATTCCTAGATTTTATTAGGTGTCTTAAATTCCGAGAGTCTTGGTGATGTCGAAAATTATCCTGGTCACATCAAAACCACGTTCTCACAAAAATGTCTTCTGAGTCTTGGGAGTGGAATTGGGTGTCTGATTAACCCAAGAAGGGCTGGTAACGGAATCTTTAGTCTTCTGTCCTTCAGATCTCCTCAGCACATTCGGAGAAACTAGTGGAGAACTCGCTTTACGCAAAATATTCAATAGAAAGCTTAACCATCCTGATGGTTGTCGCATATTACGGTATACTTCGCTCCTTTATTGACTTTTAGTGACCGGCCAACTATTCGTACTAACACAGTTGATTTAGACAGCCTTCGTAAGCTACCTAAGGGTACGTTCGGAAAAGCGTATACGAAGTTTCTGGATAAATATGTAGGCTCTACAATTTCATTGACCATAGCCTTAGGGTTATTCACCTGATGAAAGACACTATGTTAGATTTGTAGATGACCCGGATTTGTCTTACGTCATGCTGCGGTATCGGGAAATACATGATTTGGTTCATACTTAGCTTGGTCAACCTACTGACATGCTTGGTGAAGTCGTTGTTAAATGGGTAGAAGGCATACAAACTCTTCTCCCTATGCGTTTAACTGGTGGTTACTTTGGTTCTCTGCGCCTTGCACCCAAGTTAGTGTTTGCTATCAATAATACATAAATAAATTTCGCCACTTATTTGTATCAGTCAGGTTATTTCCCCGGGTACATGTTAAATGTACTTTTTCGTTGTTTCTTTCAGACAAACGGAGTGTTTTGTAAGAAGTCATCTAGAGTATGCCATTCGTACCGGTAGAGAAGCGCGTTTTCTAATGTGTGTTTACTTCGAAGAACATTGGGAAGACAATTTGGAAGATTTACGGTCATCTTTAAATATTCAGTCGCCTCCACCTCCCAGAAAACTGGATTGAGATGTGTTTTGAAGCACTTTAGATAGTTACTTTGTAAATAGTGTAGTTTTCTCTGTTTTTTGTCAACTAAAGTTTCACTACAAATGTCTTAGAATTTTTAATCAACTTGAAATATGTGTTTGTAGTTAGCTCTCTAGTAATTTGTGTTGTCGCAAGATAACATTGTGACAGTTGATTATTTAATTTAATCTCTCTTGTGGTTTTTGGCTGTTAAGATAGCTTTAATACAGTTTGAACTAGCTTTGACTGTATAAATGCTCTCAAAATCCATGATATCGCTATAGACTTCATGTTTGGCCACTAAATATTGTTTTCTTAAGATTTGTCGTTTTAACCATACAATTAAAGTCCAGCAGTTGCAACCTTTAATATCGAGCAACTTTCTGTGAGGTTAGTTTCTGAAGTAAATGGATTGTTTCACTTAATGATATTATATTAGTGTAATACAACCAATCGTAATAAGAAACTGTCTTCTACATCTTAATTATGTATCCAGTGGTTTCATAACGACTTTCCATCGGTGTTCGAGAGTCGTACTATGTGACTAAAAACATTTCATAAGCCGGTAACATCTGGTGAAACAATCCTGTTTAGCCAACATATAGAAATTCTTGTGCCTTTTGCATCATATATATATAAGCGCTTATTTACTTGCATACATATCTAGTTCTGGGATAACTCACATGAAGCCATATTCACCGTTACTTAAACCGAATATTATTGAACCGTTAAAACATTCTGTGATAGCAATGCTTAAATTGGCAACTAAAACTTCTTAAATAAACCTTCCAGATGAAGAAATCCAATAATTACCCCCCCCCTGAGCTATAATCCTTACCATACTATAAAGGAGTGTTCCTCCCTCTATCACATTTAATTTTGTGAGCTATCATCGTGGCCTCCATTAATACTCTGTATACTATTGTTCTGCCCTTGTAGAGAAGTCGGTAAATCTAAACTCTTGGTGTTAAACATATCTGTTGTTATATATTTATTGTTAATCTATTTTGGTTGCACCCAAATAGTGAGAAACTAATAAGTTGAGTCTTCTATATTATTGTAATACTTTTTTCATTATTTTAAGGATGAATGAAAGGAAACTGCATATGGCTTAGTAGCTCTCCTGATTATTCAGTGGTTGGAAGGCCGTTGCTGCTACCTTGACGTGGTGGTCGGGCTTGCCTATCGTGATGATCCAATCGAGCTATGCTGGCTGGAACAATCGTTCCTCAAGGTCCTACCATGCCAGACAGGTCGGTTGAAGAGCGGTGAGACTAACAGCAGCAATCCCAAGGTCCGAAGGCGAAGTCGTACTGCTGACTGTACAGAGGTGTGAAAGCAATAAGGTGTTTCCTTCAGACAACCAGCATGACAGCGATGCTGCCTTCCCACAAGGAGGGGTGGGGTTAGAAAAGGTCGACCCTAAAAATGCACACCTCACCTTATCCCACGGATTTCCGTCTCCGGCGGTAAGGACTTTTGAAGAACGGAGCTAACACGTCAAAAATCCCCCACAAAAAGGCCGTGCGTGACCGGCCTCAAGCAGTTGTCCCTTGGGCACTGCGGTCACGCTCCCAGGTCGTTAAGACCAACACTAATCCAACTTCATTTTCAGGTCCCTCAAGAAATACCCTTCCACGGTGTGGGCAGCCGGGAAGTGATACTAGCCCTCATACCCTTAACTGCACACAAGACCAAGTTGGTCGCTTTCAAATCCTTCCTACACCTAATAACTCTGTTATCTCCTCGACTAACCCTTCCCACGTCCTTTTATCGCGTCGCACCGCTAGAGCAAACGATTCGAGTACACAGAACGTTATTCCTGGTCTCCTGAAACCACGCTCTAAACTACATATAGGAACTTTTAATGTCCGAACATTGTGCCAAATAGGACAACAGGCTTCCTTAGCTAGGACTCTAGAATCTTACACCATCGATGTGTGCTGCGTCTCCGAAACGCGCATACAAGATCCGAGTAGTGTCATTCATTTGACCGCACCTAATCAAAATAAAGTTTCATCTCGATACACGCTCCGTGTATCTGGAAGCCCTGACGCTGCTTCCCGTGGCCTCGCTGGAGTAGGTATAGCATTAAGTCCTAGGGCAGAACTAGCTCTTTTAGACTGGATCCCAGTAGACAGTCGTCTATGCGCTGTTCGACTAAACGGATCAGTAAGGACTCGGAAAGATAGGGAAACTCGTCGTTGCCTCTTCGTCGTCTCTGCCTACTCTCCCACAGACTGCAGCTCAGACGATATAAAAGATGAGTTCTACAGGAAACTTTCTGACCTTCTCCGAGAAGCTAGGCGTTCTGATGTAGTAATAGTAGCAGGTGACTTTAATGCTCAAGTAGGTAAACTAAGTGAAAGGGAAGGACACCTGGGTGGATCTTATGGTGTCATGGCGAAAAGAACAGATAATGGCGACCGTCTGTTGCAGCTATGCTCAGATAACCGCCTATTTCTTGCAAATACTAACTTTAAGCATAAGGAAAAACATCTTTTGACCTGGCGACCCCCGAATTCGTCCCAACGTTGGACCCAATTAGATCACATCGCTATCAGCCACCGATGGAGGGGCTCGATAGAAGACTGTCGCTCATTCTGGGGCACATGCTTAGATTCAGATCATGCTCTAGTGCGAGCACGTATTTGTCTGCGTCTTATTGGACGTAGGAAAGACACTGCAGGGAAGCCTCTAAGGGTTCTACTTAATGATAGGCAAGCTAAGAATATATTTCAGGAACAACTAGAAAAACAGTTAGGCAGCCATGTAAGTTGTGTCCACCCCGAGGCCATGTGGAATGACATCCGAAAAGCTGTGGAATCAGCAGTGATATCCGCTAATAAGGTAAACCATAACGTTAGGGAGAAACAATGGATCTCGGCAGCATCTACCGCATTGATAGATGCTCGTAAACTCATCCCACCTGGCTCTGAGCATAACGAAGAGCGGAGTCAACTTAATCGCAGGCTTATAAGAAGTCTACGTAATGATCGTGAACAGTGGTGGGTAGCGAAAGCAAGAGAGATGGAAAAGGCAGCGGCAATAGGTAACAGTAGGCAGCTATTCAGACTCGTTAAAGAAACCGGTATTAGGAACCCGAATATCAGTGAAACCATCTCAGATAAAGATGGGCATATTATTCATTCTCAATCCAGGAGGTTGGATCGATGGGCAGAACACTTTAGGGATCAGTTCAACTGGCCTTCAGCCACACTTCAATTACCCACGATCCCCAGTCGTCCTGAATGGCAAATTGATGTAAGTCCTCCAACCCTCTGTGAGGTTGAAAAAGCTATAGGAAATCTGAAGCGAGGGAGAGCAGCAGGCCCTGACAGGTTGTCCCCTGAGATTTTTAAGGATGGTGGTCCAGTACTAGCAGTGAGATTGACTGAGGTCTTAGGTAGAATCTGGGAACTGGACGTAATTCCATCTGACTGGTCCCAATCACTGATTGTGCCAGTCTATAAGAAAGGACAAAAGTCCTCTTGTGACAATCACAGAGGGATCAGTTTGACTAATATAGTGTCTAAAATATTAGCTTCAATAATACTAGGTCGCCTAACCAAAGCTCGTGAAGAGCAGACTAGAGAAAACCAAGCTGGTTTTCGACCTGGACGTGGTTGCATAGACCAGATATTCACCCTACGTCAGGTTCTAGAACATAGACACAAATTCAGACGTCCCACAATAGTAGTATTTCTTGACCTTAAGGCGGCATTTGACTCTGTTGATCGTGAGGTTCTATGGCAATGTTTGTCACTGAAAGGAGTACCAAAGAAGTACATTAACCTCATAAAGGCTCTCTACTCGAGCACAACTGGTCGAGTTAGAGCCTATGGCGAACTGTCATCAGAACTGATTACCACAAGTGGCGTTCGTCAGGGCTGTCCACTCTCCCCATTCTTGTTTAACTTTGTCATTGACTTACTTTTAGAGATAGCACTTTCATCAGCTAAGCCTCCAGGAGTTGAACTTTTACCAGGAGGCTCACTTGTTGACTTAGAATACGCCGACGACATAGTTTTACTCGGTGAAGACGCTGACAACATGCAGAGTCTTCTGACCACTATAAGCAACTATGCAGGCATGTTCGGGATGCGATTCTCTCCCTCGAAGTGCAAAATGTTACTTCAGGATTGGGTTGTATCGGCACCTGAACTAATGATAGGGAGTGAAGTAGTTGAGCGTGTAGACCACTTCACTTATCTTGGGAGTCTCATCAGCCCTTGTGGTCTGGTATGTGACGAAATCTCAGCACGGATACAGAAGGCTCGTCTAGCTTTCGCCAACTTGCGTCATTTATGGCGTAGGCGAGATATCCGTCTAGCAACCAAAGGACGGGTTTACTGTGCAGCAGTTCGCTCCGTCCTACTCTATGGCAGTGAAACATGGCCAATAAGAGTAGAGGATATTCGTAGGCTACTAGTGTTCGATCATAGGTGTCTTCGAAGCATTGCTCGTATATCCTGGGACCACCGGGTAAGTAATGCAGTTGTTAGGAAACGAGTACTAGGTAGGGATGGCAAATCGATTGATGAAGTAGTGAAACTTCATCAGTTGAGATGGCTGGGACATGTGTTACGTATGCCCGACCACCGACTGCCCCGACGTGCAATGTTTCATGGTGTAGGAGTAGGTTGGAATAAAGCTAGGGGTGGCCATACCAAAACGTGGCACAAATCAATGAAGTCACTGACAAGTGGACTGGGCCATGTTGGTAGGTGTAGACTACCTGGTTGGGATTCGCGAGATGACAGCAACCGATGGTTAGAGACCTTGAATGACATGGCTCAAAATCGTTTGCAATGGCGAAGATGCATCCACTCTTTGTGTTCTACCAAATTCTAATCTTCTGAATTCCTCATGTCTTTATCTTTTTCTCTTTCCAAATTTATTTCACTGTACTATACTCCTTCAATAATTTCTTCAAACCCCTAATCTTTTGGATTTCTGATTATACTCCTACTACTTCTACCACTATGGGATTTGAATCGACAACTGCATCTCTGTGCTAATGTGGTATGGCAACTCGAACTGATGTACATACGTACGAAGTTCTACGTTGTGACTGA